AGGTTAGAAAGAAAACTAGAGGGAAGGCCGGAGGTCAGATAGAAGACTGGAGGGAAGGCCGGAGGTCAGATAGAAGACTGGAGGGAAGGCCGGAGGTCAGATAGAAGACTGGAGGGAAGGCCGGAGGTCAGATAGAAGACTGGAGGGAAGGCCGGAGGTCAGATAGAAGACCAATGGTCCTGTACTTGTAGTGTATACACTTGAACTAGCAGTGCTGAGCTCTGGGTGTATTCCTCACACGTCTCCATTGTGTCCTCTTGTAGCTCCTGCATTTCCTCTGCACAGCGGGGGATGTCTGTGACTGAGAGGTGTGTGCTAATTCCTATTATTCTCAGTAGGAGGTGTAATTGAGATGCTTCTCCCCGGCAATGCTCAGCTCCTCGTCATCGTTTATTAGCTGATTACCTGTAATTACTGAAGCCAATTTCCTCTTTGCCTCTAATAAGCGCCGATCAGCAGGATTCCCGAGTCTCGGCCGGCTGAGATTTAAAAAAAAAATATGGCCGCCACGGAAACTAGCAAGTTACTCTAAAACCCATCACCCGGGATGCTGCGTGGCCGCCCAGTACAGACGTTCATTGATGACCTCTTCTACTCCCCCGATACCAGTGTTACAGTCTGAGATTTATACAGTAATACCTTGGTTTACAAGTAACTTGGTTTGAGAGTGTTTTGCAAGACAAGCAAACATTTCTGAAAAATGATGCCTTGATATACAAGCAATGTCTCGCAATAAGAGCAAAATTCTGTAGAACAGCACCACCGAATAAGGCTGTAGCAGTGCGAGCGATGAATCTGTTTAACGACAATGCAATGTCACATTGGATAGATTCCTTGTTAAGGTTCCACGAAATAAAAAAGATTCCATTGAGTCGAGATAGCAGTGATTCCGTTAGTGATAGTGAAACTCGTCCTACATTGCTCAGCTCCTCGTCATCGTTTATTAGCTGATTACCTGTAATTACTGAAGCCAATTTCCTCTTTGCCTCTAATAAGCGCCGATCAGCAGGATTCCCGAGTCTCGGCCGGCTGAGATTTAAAAAAAAAATATGGCCGCCACGGAAACTAGCAAGTTACTCTAAAACCCATCACCCGGGATGCTGCGTGGCCGCCCAGTACAGACGTTCATTGATGACCTCTTCTACTCCCCCGATACCAGTGTTACAGTCTGAGATTTATACAGTAATACCTTGGTTTACAAGTAACTTGGTTTGAGAGTGTTTTGCAAGACAAGCAAACATTTCTGAAAAATGATGCCTTGATATACAAGCAATGTCTCGCAATAAGAGCAAAATTCTGTAGAACAGCACCACCGAATAAGGCTGTAGCAGTGCGAGCGATGAATCTGTTTAACGACAATGCAATGTCACATTGGATAGATTCCTTGTTAAGGTTCCACGAAATAAAAAAGATTCCATTGAGTCGAGATAGCAGTGATTCCGTTAGTGATAGTGAAACTCGTCCTACACAATAATCCTCCTCTCTCTTGTCCCCCTCATACCAGCCACAGAGGTACTGATAATCAGTTTATTTTTCTTTATATTTTGTACAGTGTTATATTTCAGTACAGTATTGTAATCATTTTTATATGAATATTTTTGGGTTGTGGAACGAATCATCTGAATTTCCATTATTTCCTATGGGGAAATTCACTTTGATATACAAGCGCTTTGGATTACAAGCATGCTTTCGGAACGAATTATGCTCGTAAACCAAGGTATTACTGTATGTCTGTTACAGCCCCGATGAAGGGGGATCTTTGGCCCCTGAAACACGTTGTTTCCTGTTACCTTTGTGACATCAACAGATTCATAAAATACAGTTCTACGTGTCTGCTCCTCTTTCTGGTTCACCTAGACTGCTATTGGACCAGCAGCAGCCCACACCTTTGTCCCTCTGGTCTCTTACTATCAGCATGTCCCTTGTCAGGATATTTGCATGCATCTGATTGGCTGCTAGTTTTGCATGCAGCACCCTTTATTGGCTGCTGGTGTTGCACGCAGCACCCCTGATTGGATGCTGGTGTTGCACGCAGCACCCCTGATTGGCTGCTGGTGTTGCACGCAGCACCCCTTATTGGCTGCTGGTGTTGCACGGAGCACCCCTGATTGGCTGCTGGTGTTGCACGCAGCACCCCTGAATGGCTGCTGGTGTTGCACGCAGCACCCCTGATTGGCTGCTGGTGTTGCACGGAGCACCCCTGATTGGCTGCTGGTGTTGCACGCAGCACCCTTGATTGGCTGCTGATGTTGCACGCAGCACCCCTGATTGGCTGCGCTAGTGTTGCACGGAGCACCCCTGATTGGCTGCTGGTGTTGCACGCAGCACCCCTGATTGGCTGCTGGTGTTGCACGCAGCACCCCTGATTGGCTGCTCGAGTGGCGCGCAGC